ACAAACAGAATGAGAGTGTCAGGACTCAGATATTCTATCTACAAAAGTTTTTTTTTTTTTTTAATTTTTAACAACTGAAAAACAGTAACTGAAATATATACAAAACTCAACAATAATAAAGCTTAATTTCTGATTAGAGTCTCAAGCTAGACTCTTCACTGTTCGTTTGTGTTTAAATGGTGGGAGGGTCAGCAAGAGATATTGAGATTTGAGCTTTCTCAATTCCCTCCCCCAAATAATTTTTAAGCCTTTGACCATTGACAGTGAACTTGGTCCCATCTTTCTCATTTAAAATGTCCACTGCACCATGTAAATGGACTTTTGTTACCTTAAATGGACCAGACCACCTAGACTTTAACTTTCCTGGAAAGAATTTTAGCCTAGAATTAAAGAGCAGGACCTGTTGTCCCTCAAAGAACTGCCTATCTGAAATTTGCTTATCATGCCATCTCTTCATTTGTTCTTTATACAGCTTGGCATTTTCATAAGCATTTAATCTAAATTCATCCATTTCATTCAGTTGGAGAATTCTCTTTTCTCCTGAGGCAGTGGCATCAACATTCAATTGAGTAGTAGCCCAGTATGCTTTATATTCCAACTCTAAGGGTAAATGACAATTTTTTCCAAAAATCAATTTGTAAGGTGAGCAACCTAAAGGTGTTCTATAGGCTGTCCTATAAGCCCACAAGGAATCATCTAATTTCAAGGACCAATCCTTTCTTGAAGGATTCACAACTTTTTCCAGAATTCTTTTCACTTCCCTATTTGTGACTTATACTTGCCCACTGGTTTGTGGGTGGTAAGCAGTAGAGACTTTATGCTTAACACCATATTTAGCCAAAAGGACTTCAAATTGTCTGCTAGCAAAGTGCTTACCTCCATCACTTATAATGGCCCTTGGAGTTCCAAATCGGGTAAAAATATTCTTTTTCAAGAATTTAATTACCACTTTTGAATCATTTGTGGGTAGGGCAGCAGCCTCTACCCATTTGGAAACATAGTCCACAGCCACCAATATATATTGATTCCCGAAGGAAGGGGGAAATGGTCCCATAAAATCTATGCCCCAAACATCAAAAAGTTCTATTTCCAAAATTGGCTTCAAAGGCATTTCTTGCCTTCGAGACACATTGCCAGTCCTTTGACACCTATCACATTTATGGACATAAACATTGGCATCCTTGAATAAAGTAGGCCAATAAAAACCAGATTGCAACACCTTTGCTGCTGTCCTTAGACCACCAAAATGACCACCATATGGTGAGTCATGACATTGCTGTAAAATTGCCTCTTTCTCTTCCTCCAACACACATCTCCTAATTATCTGATCAGCACATTTCTTAAACATGTAGGGTTCATCCCACAAATAAAACCTACTGTCATGCATCAACTTCCTCCTCTGTTGGTAACTCAACTCTTTAGGAAGTTCCCCACTAACTAAATAGTTAGCAAAATCAGCATACCATGGGGTTGTGTTTGAGGTAATTAAAAATAGCTGCTCATCCGGGAAAGTTTCCCTAATGGCTTGCTCAACTCCCACATCATTTTTCTGCCCTTCATTAAGCCTAGACAAGTGGTCAGCCACTTGATTCTCGGTTCCCTTCCTATCTTTAATCTCCATATCAAACTCTTGAAGGAGAAGAACCCATCTAATCAATCTAGGCTTAGAATCCTTCTTTTCCACCAAATATTTTATGGCAGAATGGTCAGTATATACAGTGACTTTGGTACCTACCAAATAAGATCTAAACTTGTCAAAGGCAAATACAACAGCCAACAGTTCTTTTTCAGTAACTGTATAATTCAGTTGGGCTCCATTTAAGGTTCGGCTAGCATAGTAAATGGAGTGAAAAACTCTATTTTTTCTTTGTCCTAAAACAGCCCCCACTGCCCAATCACTTGCATCACACATTAATTCAAAGGGCAGTGACCAGTCAGGAGCTATTATGATGGGAGCAGAAATTAATTTCTGTTTTAGCTCCTTAAAGGCTTTGTGACAAGCCTCATCAAAATGGAATGGGGTGTTAATTTCCAGCAAATGACTAAGAGGCTTTGAGGTTTTGGAAAAGTCTTTTATAAACCTCCTATAAAAGCCAGCATGCCCAAGGAAAGACCTTATCCCCGGCAACGGCGCCAAAAACTTGTTGCCTTGCTAACAGTTGTGCAAGTAATGCGCGCAAGTATACGCGACAACAAGTAATATAGGGCTGTTATAAGTCCCAGTTATCGTTCCCACAAGGATCGTTGGCGTTTTGAAATGACTAAAATTTGTAATTGCTTAAAACTGAGTTACTATTTGAAAATAGAGGAAATAAAATTGTAAAGTAAAAATTATTCTAAAATGGACCTAAAACACTACTGTTCACTTTTCTTTTAAAATTTTCTGAATTACTTTCCTAAGTTATAAAATACGAATGAAGAATGGAGCAACTTAAATGAAAGATGTGACAAAAATTTTGAAAACAGAATAGAGATTGAAATATGAAATAACAAAGGAAATTGGAAAATCTGAATTGATAAAGAGGTTTAAAAAGGTGGGTTGAGTTTTTGGTTCTCCTTCCCCACAGTGCTTGAAAAATAATTTGATTAACAAAAAGCTCATCCTAAGATTCTCAGTTAACAGAACTGTATTGTTAATTTTTAATCTCTTAAAAATTATTTTAGCCCAAAGTTGCCCACTTCCATATCTCTATGCCAAGTGGGATTAGGACTCTTGAGACTCAGGTCCAATATTACATGAGGACTCATTCATTTCTGAATTGAGATCCCTTAGATGATTTCTCATCTAAGTCCATGTGTCTAATGCAGAATCCAGATTTAGTTGTTTCTCAACAACTAAATCCTAACCAAACCTCTGACATTTGGCCAAAATGCAGATAATTTTAAACATAAAAAAAAAACATTAAACAACTGAGATATAAAAATTAAAACCAGGAAATCAAATATTTGACAAGCACTGAGGTTTGGGTATCACCTAAACCCAACCTCTAAAAAGTTAGCCACTATCCATATGGATGAGGCTTACACACAGTAACAGAGAACTACAGAAATCACAAAATAAAAATTCTAAAAACTAAAATTACAGCACTGGCCTAACAACCGGCAATCTCAGTGCTGTAAAGACATGCATCAAGTTCATCAAATGAACCAGAATCTCATTACAAAACAGAACTTAAAATAAAATAAAAATTGTTCAGAAAACAAAAACTAAGAAACGGTAAATCAGAACCAGAAGAGAGCACCCTCATGACTCACTCCTATTTCCCTTTTTATAGGGCTCTTTGCACACTATCCTCTTTTTCTCCAGCTCAGCAATATGACGCGCTGCTTGTGCGCTGCAAATGAGTGGTCCCCACAGTGCTCCACTCCTCTGCTCTTACAAATCGGATGGAATTGTCGTTCCTTCAACCCGTACACTGACGTGTGCTCACAATCGCTCCAGCATCCACTAAGTAACGGATCTTTGTTTGGCTTTTTCTGAATCCAAAAATAGTGGCTAGGGTTTTCGTGATTTCTTCTTCTTCATGGACTGTGGGTATGGGTCAATTTGGACAGATGAACCGTGGACAAAGGATATTCTGACCTTCTGGATCGATTTGGGGCAGGGATTAGGGATGGATGAAGTGGATTCTGATTGCACGATGTGGGTTCGCTAGGGTTTGCGTTTTCTTTTCTTTTCTTCACGTTTCTGCTACAGACTTCTCTTTCTTTCCTTTTTTCCTTTTCTTGCTTTCTTTCTTCCTTTCCTTTTGGGCTTTAGTATTTTAGGTCCGGCCCATCACTTCCCTATATATTTTTTTTCTCATGCTGACTTCTTTCTTTCCTCTAATGGGTATTTCTGATGCAAAAGGAAAATGGGCCTGAAAAATGGAATGTTACAGCCCATTAGCACTTTAATCAATAAATTCAACTCAGTGTAAATTTGGGGCTTTTACTAACAATAAAAGTATTCTTTTATTTCCATTTGCACATTAAAACCATATGTTTCAAGTCTCATTTCAGAGACTTATCAATATACCTTCTAAAGCTGAGGTATTATGTTGACTCTTTCTTGTTTGTTATTTTTTTCTTATGAGAAGTACTAGTGCATTCATGAATGAAACTTTCTTTGCTCTATATAATTATTTTCTTTGCTTAGTATCTACAGTGGTAGGCCTACAAGGCCTATTGGCCATGTCGGGCTTTCTTATTTTAAAAATAGGTCGGGCTTGGCCTACAAATAAAGCCTTTGATTGGCCAGTAGGCCAGATAGGCTGAATTTTTATTACGTAGGCTTGGGGCAGGATGGCCAAAGCCCAGCCCATTTACACCCCTAGTTTTAGTATATTTTTTCACTTTTTTTTTTCTTTTTTATAAAATTACGAAAAAAAGAAAATAAAAAAAAAGAATGCAAAAACACACTAAATTGATATAATTTTATTTAAAATAACACAAAGTTCTGTTATTTAGAATGACAAACACTGTTTTTAAATTTTTATTATGAGTTAATTATAAACTTTTAAGACATAAAAGACGCATTCAAACATTCCAAAAGACGAGTCAAAAATTAAATTTTTTTTTGAGTTACCCTACTCCTTAAATAAATGACATGATATGTAAAACCCGACGTGGCGCGAAACATTCAGCAGTCCCCTTCGTGAGTCCTGATTTCACCCAAACACTGGCCTCATCAGTTTTTTTTTTTAAATTAATTAATGCCATTATTGTTATTATTTTTTTGTAAAATTAATTACAACTAATGTAATCATCGTTAATTTTCGTCAATCTAACGATTATTATTTGTTAGAATTAATAATTAATTAATAAATACGATTCAAAAATTTTTAATAAATAAAAAGTATTAAATTGATAGAAATTAATGATGATTAAGTTAGTCGTATAAGTTGTAAAGATTTTTTAGTGATAAATATATTTTTTTCCTTAATTATTTAGTTTTATTTTTTATTTTTATATTTTTCATTCTTTTGTGCTGTGAACAGTCTCGTGTTGTGCTCCACTGTATGCAGTATCTGAAATATAATGTTTTTCCATGCTCCCAAATCCCAATTCCTAGATTCTTCATCGTCAACGCTCGTCACACTAACTTCCCCAACCTTTTATCCGTTTCGGTCATCGCTCCTCCTTTCCCGTTTCGAAACGCCTCAACTTGTATCCGAAAACGAAACCCGCTGATAGCGATGGCGCCTCGTAATTCGATGGTGGTGGAGTACGCTAAGTCGAACCGGTCTACGTGCAAGGCGTGCTCCAAAGCGATCGAGTCTCAGGCTCTCAGGTTGGGGTTGGTCACCAAGGGAAATGGAGGCTTCGACGTCATCAAATGGCACCACCTTGGTTGCTTCCCTTTACCTTCTGCCTCGCACTCCAATGCTGACGCCATTAACGGCTTTTCCTCCTTGAAGGTTTCGCATCTCTTCTCTTTCCTTTTCAAACATGGGCTTTGGTTTTTTTTTATTTCTTAAAAGAAAAAATAAGAAAAATGAAGACTCCGTGGAGGGGGAACATAATTCATTTAGTATTATAACCAGTAGAAAAGTAATTATAACCAGTAGAAAAGTAATGTAAAGAATCAATTCAACCCATTTTGTAAAGAACCAATTCAACCCAAAAGCTTAAGCTGGTTGAGGCTACATTGGTGTTGGATGTAAAGAACTAATTCAACTCAAAAGCTTAAGCTGTTGGTGAGCCTATATTGGTGTTGGGTGAAACTACATTAATAGTTTTATATATCTCAACACTTTTTATTGTAATTTGAAGCTTAAGATGTTAATTTTATGATTTTCTTTCTTTCTTTTTGAAGCTTAAGATGATAATTTTATGATTTATTTTCTTTCTTTTTGAAGTAAATATTTTTTTTAGAAGTGATTTATTATTATTTTTCCTCAGAGTAGTGACCAGGAAGCTTTGAAGAATTTATTGTCTGGACATGACAAGTCTGAAGAGAAGGTGAGAACCCAATTTTCTTTAACTCAAATATAAATAGGAAAACCACGTGGTAGGTTCAGAGTTGACTTATGATAAGGGAATATTTGCAATATGGGGTCATTAATTTGGTTTATGCGTTTTTATAATTGAATTTTTATTCTCTATCTTCTTGTTGTTTTTAATCCTTTTGAATTTTACTCTTAACTTATTCACTCTGGTTATGTTACACTTCTTTAACAGGTTCGTAAAGCAACGGAAGACATACAGAATGAACTGGTAGAGACTGACGAAAATGATCCAAAGAGAAAAAAGGTAAGCTGTAAGCACGTGCACTGTCAAGGAGTTTATGAAGTATCAAATACCATATATTAGATAATATTGTGTGTCTTAGAGAGATAGAGAGGAGGGGTGGTTTCTGCTTCCAGTTAAGGTGGTTTTAAAATTTTTGGCTTCCTTCTTGTATTTAAAATGCCCTCATCATCTTTGTTCTGCTATTCTAGATCTCTTGCATGAAGATACTTTGACAAATATTGGAATTGCGGACTTGATTACGAATTTTTTTTGTTTGAATCGTTTTTAAGATTTTTAATTTTATAATTATATGATGGTTTTAACTTGATATTCTTAACCATGTATCTGTAAAAGATGTAAACAGTTGAACTAAAAGGCGTGAACTGTTGGTTTAGTTTGTTTGCCGATGATTATTTTCTTCTTCAAATGCCTTATGTCTGGTTAAGTTTTATTGTTAGTTGTCTTTGTTGTTCACGTTTATTGCTTGCAGTTATGCACATCCGATGTTGAAGCTTTGGTGGACATCAACTTTTCAGTTTCTGACGTCAAGAGCAAGTACAAGGTGTGAGGTTTTCCCTTTTTGTCTTTATTTGATAACTTCGTGGCGTTGATGTTTGATAGTGAAAGGTATCAACATTGTTGTGGTTAAAATTCTGTTAACTTTCTGATCTATCTTTACATTTTTTGCTCTTCTTACGTTCAATGAAATTATTACCTCATCCAGGATGCTACCCTTTTACCAAAATGGAAGGCATTCCAAACAGTCATATTTCTTGAACGGGTGAGATTAATTGTCTTAATTTTTTTTTCTTGTATAGTTTGTTTGGACTTCCAGGAAATAGCTTCTTTGCAATTATGCAAGGGTAAAGCTGCGTACATGGATTACCTCCACCTCACACTCGCTAGTCGGGTTTAACGAGTTTTTTTGGTATAGTTTGGTTGGACTGTGAATGAGTACAACCTTGTGCTCCGGTCAAAAATACAAAGTATCACAACAATGCATACTGCTCTGCATAGTTTACATGTTCCCCCTTTTATGCAATTATAGAGATTTAAGTAAGGAAGAAAGAAAAAAGAGAATAATGACTAAATAATCTGAAATTTATGTTGATTAATAGGAATGATGTGTTATGATATGATACAAATCACAAAGCACTAATTTCTGTTTGTACTAATAGTAGACTCTAAATCCCAATTAAATAAGGAATGAAATATGAACTATATAGATATATGGAAACCAATACTAAGAAATAATATAAGATATTCTAAATTACTCAAGTTACAACATGTATCATGTTTCATGTATTCTAACACCCCTTTTTCCATGCTCTGATATTTTGCAGGATGATGGGCTGCATGATTCAAGTAAAATTGCTGCTTTTGATTTTGATGGATGTCTTGCAAAAACTGCTGTGAATAGGTATGTCTATGTCTGAAGTCACAACATTGTGATTATTAATGTTATTGGTTTGCGAGTAAATGATATTGTGTTAAAGGCTTCTGGTGAGCTTATGTGGTGCTATCTCTGAAAATAAGTTCTTGGATTGGATATATTTTATCAAAATTAACCTTTTGATTTGATATTATTAATATTGTCATGTGCTGAACATCATAAATTTCTGATTATTAAGAAAGTTAACTTTTTCTTTCAGAGTGGGTGCTGGTGCTTGGTCTCTCATGTATTCTTCAATTCCTGATAAACTACAAAGCTTATACAACGATGGCTACAAGCTGGTGTGTTCTTTTTATCTGTAAAAAGAAATATGAGATTTACTGTAGAATTTTGGCTTATTTTAGAACTTTACTATTCGTACTCTCCCTCTCTCTAATTTAAATCTTTTGCCAGTTTAGTAGTCTGCCAGAATGGAACTTATGGTGTTGTATGCTCCTCACTGTCGTCGTTGTTGTCTACCGCAGGTAATTTTCACCAATGAATCCAATATTGAACGCTGGAAGAACAAGAGACAAGTAGCTGTGGACTCGAAAATTGGACGGCTAAATAACTTCATTGAGAAAGTGAAGGTCCCAGTTCAGGTAATTTTGTTGGTAATGCAAATGTATCTCCTGTTGTTATCAACTATTCAATCATGGGTTGTCTGTTTCGCTGGTTACAAGCTAAAACTATCGTACTCTACTTCCATTACCATGTTTTCCATTTCTGGACATGGGATTACTTGGTTACTGTGTTTTCCATTTCTTGACGGAGGATTACATGGTTGAGAATGTCCTTACTAATGAAACAAAAGTGACGTGATGTTAAAATTAGATGCTTTCCTTTGCACAATAGGTTCAATATTCTTGTTGTTCTCCTTTCTTTTTCCTCCTAGTAGGAATAACCAATATGAAGTGAAACATATTTACTAGGTAATTCATACTCGATTTTTACAACTCACTATCTTATTAGTAACATTGCTCTTTCCTTTTCTGTTCTTCAACAACAGTTAAGCACATAAAATTTTACCTCCACTTTTGAGGTAAATAGTTTTATATCAAAAGGGGATCCAGAAGGAAGTAAAAATGACATTTGCTACCTTATAATAGTTTGACTTTCTCCTAGGGTTATCTTTATAAATCATCTTGAATAAGTCCCAGTCATCTCCATGGTGAATGCAATTTTCCTGCTAATGATTTGCATTTATTTTGTAACTTGCACTTCCAAGAGCAGACATCTTCAGAATAAATTGCATCTTGGTTTTATTTATAGTCATAGATATTAAAATTAGAAGTTGAACGTTTTCCACCTTTGCATTGCTGCACAATGATTTTCTCCACCTCTGAAAATTTAGGTAAATGGTTTCTCATTTGAGAGTTCCAAGTTTCATTCACTATGTAAAAAAGATTAAAGGGTGGAAAGAAATTTTGTAGCCCATTTGGTTTCGAAAATATTTAGGAAATACGTGAGAAGCTGACCTTAGTAACAAAATTTTATCTATACAGGTTTTTATAGCTTGTGGGCTAGGTAAACCAGTTAAAGCTGGCGGAAAAGAAAATGATCTTTTTCGCAAACCCAAGCCTGGGATGTGGCATCTAATGGAGCAACACCTCAATTCCGGCATTGCCATTGATATGGATCAGTTATTTTTTCTTCCATTCAATAGCTCAATTGATGCTACATTTTCGATTCCTTTCTTAATTTTATTTTTTAAATATTATACAAAGTGATGAGAATGTTAAGCAGGCATTTGCTATGTTGTAGGTCATTTTATGTTGGTGATGCAGCCGGGAGAGAGTCAGATCATAGTGATGCTGATATTAAATTTGCAGAGGTAGTTAAAGCAGTTTTAGCCTTGAAGAATTAACTTTATCACTATTTTTATGTCCGATACTTAAGCACTCCTCTTCTAGACTGATTCAAGCACCATTTAGAAAAGGGCCATTGTTTATCAATAAATCTTAAGTTATGGTTAGTTGAAATAATGGCATGGCTCATAATGCATAGTTTGAGCGCATCTCTCTCTCTCTCTCTCTCTGATTATTGCTTAAGTTTATGGATGTATAGTTCATCCTGTTGCAGATATTATTATCTTAAAGCTGCATGTCCGCTCCCTGAATAATACTTGATGTCATCCATTTGTTCTTAATTTTTATTTTACAGTTTGACTTAGCAATTGCTTGGTTTTAAACTACGCATGTTTGTTGTCTAATTTATTTATTTTCAATGGTTGCAGGCCATTGGTTTAAAATTTTATGTCCCTGAAGAGTACTTCGATGCAGGAGCATCTAATTTGGCCATTAGTTCATAGAAGGGGTAACCGGGTAATGTCCATTTTTGTTTGGATGTGACCTTACCAACTGGGACGGTATAAAATTGACTATAGGTTTGCTTGGCCTTAATCAGTTGTATGCATGTAAATGGATTAATCACTGTAATGTAGTCGACTAATTTGTGGGCAATCCTAAATTTATTTCTGGTTGCTTCAATTCCAAGATTCTATAATTGAGTATTATTATTATTATTATTATTTTGTATAGTTGACCAGATGGAATTCCTCTCACACTTGTCCCTTATTAGCATGTTTAGATGTCACTGGTTTGAATTATGGATTTATTTCTGCCTTAGCTTCTAAATATTTTTTTTTCTTCAATGATAAAGGCAAAATAACTAAAAGGGAGCTTTATTTTTTATTATTATTTTTTTTAAAAAAACTCATTTAATTCCAAAATGCCAACCTCTTCGTGGTAGCGCCAACTATTCAAGCCCTACCACTGAATCCAATAGTAGTGTGATATGAACCAGTGGCAAGAAAGACAAATTATAGATAAGGGGCAGTGAATAATCCAATGGTTGAAAATAAATTTGAATTTGTTGTAACAAGATTACTGTTACTTGATGTATAAAAAGAGAAAAGGGAATTGTGTAAAGGGTGTCGAATATTGTAACCCATTTTCTTTAGGAATAAACTTCTCATTCTCATCTCTTTCTTATCTCAACCTTGCTTTTGTCTCATCTTCAACCTCTGTTCTTTAAGATAGGTTCCAAATTCTATCAATTGGTGTTTTCATTCTTTGAACAATGGCTCCTGAAACACATTTCCAATCTGCGGATGATCGAGTGGGGAAAATTATATCTAAAGTGGAAGTTCTGAAGGAGCAAATGTCCAACAAATTTCAAGAGATAACGTGCAAGTTGGATGCAATTTTGGACAACTACAGAGAACGCAAGTGTTTTTCCTCATTCTCTGTCAATAATGACACTTCCAACAATGGGGATGTTGCACCTGTTTCCAATCGTTGCATCAAGGTATCGTAGGTTTGATGGATCTCTTGATTCCCATGGCTGGATCTTTAAAGTCAATCAATTCTTTGATTCTTATGAAATGGATGAAGTGCAAAGACTACATATTGCTCCTTTTTATTTTGAGGGTGAAGCGTTGACAATACCCATTCCAAGTTGGACAAAAGACCAACACTAGGGTCTCTTAATGAAACTGTAACTGATAGTACGCATCAGGGAGAAGCAATCTGGGTAGATGAACAAGTAAAACATGAAAATAGAGGTTTTAACAAGTTGCCTAGTGATGGACTCATTAAAGATCCATTATACAAGGTCAATGAAAATTTAATCGAGAATAAAGCAAGGAATAAATTGACGGACTCTATTTTTTATTGCTAATAATTCCATTGGAACTGTTGTTGTTAATGACACTAGTAGTACTAGTGTCTTAAACCATGATCAATTACAGAGTTGGGAGAAAACCATGGATTAACATAGCCTTGGAGAAGGATTCATGCCTACTAGTTTTAAGGTACGAGCAATTTCCCTTGATGGAGATAATTCTGCAATTGAAGATGTCTTGGATCTTGATTTTGGTGAAACTGCAAGTGGTCTTGTTGTATCGGTTGATTTTGAATATTGGTGGATTATCTTGTTGCAAGCATACAGGAAAAGCACTGGAAATTTATATGTGCAAGAGAAAGTTGATGTGTAAACTCGAATCAAGATGATTTTAAAGCTATGTCTAGCTGACGGTTTTGTGATGTTTTCAACCTTGTTGGTTACTGATGGTACATGTATGATAGATCGTCTTATGGGAATACATAGTCAACCTTTGGAGATACAAGAAATAGTTTATTCAACACTGATGTGTGCACTTGAGATGCTTATTCTTGAAGATGGATCAGCCGATCTTATCCTAGTTCTTAACAATTATCTTGTTGCATCATCACTCCATATAATGGAATATTACTGGGTTGATATGAGAAAACTCAATGAGATGTACAGATACAACATTGAGGAATAAATGTTTGATGCTATTAACAAATTCAATATCTCTTCAGATCAAATTCCTTTATGGTTGCTGGAATTTATGCCAAATAAAAGAGGCTATTTTCCTACCTTCAAAAAAGGAGGCTATTTGATTAGAAACCTGCAACCAACCTATATGGACTTCCATTTCTTTCCTCTTGGAAATGTATGGTCTATTGTAAGTAGGATGACTACCGCTGATCAATCACATGCAATTTTAGGCCTTATTGAAGCGAAATAGGCAGATTTAGTAGCTGACATGTCATTCAAAATATGTTATCATGCTCTTGAAGGCCAGCAATGGCATATTATAGCAAGAAGTGAACCCAAAAACACTCCATGCTCCTACCATAATGCAGGCTTGTGGCTAACTTTGCCCTGGCAGCTTACTGTCACATGCATTAAGATGAATAGACCAAATATTGCTTCAAAGGCTGTTGTTGAGACACAATATACGTAGTATTGTTTGGTGATAGATCCACATGCTACAACTACATCACGAATGAGTTTACATGCTTTCTTTGGGGTTTTTGGTGGCTCGATGTTTTATTGGGTAAATTTCAGCTATTTACTTATGCCATGTGGGAATTGTTGGATGAATTTCATCACTTGTATCAATTCTCCAACCTTGAGGACAATTATTTTTAATGGGGAGGGTATTGATATAAACCAGGGGCAAGAAAGACAAATTATAGATAAAGGGTAGTAAATAATCCAATAGTTGAGAATAAATTTGAACTTGCTGTAACAAAATTACTTTTAGTTTATGTATAAAAAGGGAAAAGGGAACTGTGTAAAGGGTGTCGAATATTGTAACCCGTTTTCTGTTAGGAATAAACTTCTCATTCTCATATCTTTCTTCTCATTCTTATCTCAACCTTGCTTTTCTCTCATCTTCAACCTCTGTTCTTTAAGATAGGTTCCAAAATGTATCATAGTGTTGTTGCCTTTAATCCAACAGGCTATCCAAAGACAACCCCTAGGAGTCCATGCTACAGCCCAGCCAGTTTCACAAGTAGCTGAAGGCTAACAACAACCACACCTTCAGTCCTACGTGACTAGTCATTTGGTTGACGGTGTCGGTCAGAATCTGAATCAACAACCCTACCACGAACCAGCTACAAACATTCCCTTTGGAACACCAACGATTCCTGTGATACCCAATTGCCCACTAGTGGACGCCTTCAATGCACTCCAATTGCCTACAACTTCAAGGTCGTAATGACACATATAAAGGAGATTCTGAACATTATGATTAGGTTGACTAGTTCAAGGACGCAATGACATATAAAGGAGATTCTGAACATTATGATTAGGTTGACTAGTTTAAGGCCGCAAATTGTAATGACACTATTCGGAGAAATATATTTGCTGATTTGTAGAATCTTCCCCTTTTTGCTGAAGAGGAGAGTCTTAGAATGGTACAGCTCGCTTCTGATAGGAAGCATCTCCACCTAGGCGAACCTTGTACAGAAGTTTATGGTACACTTCACCACCAACCACCCAACGTTTAAGTACATGCACTCCTTGTCCATGATCCACTGGCAAGTGGGAGAGTCTTTGAGGAGCTACATTGATTGCTTTGACAAGGAAGCAAGAGAAGTTAGGGGACTTGACCCTAAAGTTCAAGTGCACATTCTGATAGCCAGATTGCTAGGTGGCCTCTTTGCCTATGACTCAACATAGAATGACATAACTGAAATGGAGGAGGTAAGTTAACCTGCCAAGGCTTCATGTGAGAGGAGGACTTCAAGTTGGGAAGAAGAGAAAGGAAGGATATAACCAGGAAGAGTCTTCTGTTGGGTACGACTCATATTTTGCATGCTGATGAGGGCCCTTGTTATTGGGGTCAGCTGAAAGGCAACTGGGGTCCCGCTCCTAGGTGAGCGGGCGAGGGTTCGGGGGAGCTGCCCCCGTAGAGGTTAGGTACTGTTGTGATCCTCTGATTTATTTATTGTAATTTTGTTAGTAGTTTAAGGCAATTGAGGTCCCGCTCCCAGGTGAGCGGGCGAGGGTTCGGGGGAGCTGCCGGGGGGCAGCGCCCCAGGCCCCCCGTAGAGGCTTATCAGAAATCAAGTGAGAGAGAAAGAGAGAGAGCCATTGATTTACTGAATGTTTGATATATTTCATATTGATTGAATACAAGGGGCGAGCTCTATTTATAGAGCTAAGAGATGCTGAGTTAGCAACTAACAACCCAAACTAACTAACTGAGCTTATAACAATAAGCCTAACAGAAAGGTTAGAAGGAATATACTACAACCAGTTTTATAGTAACAACAATGCAGCTAAATACAACTGCACAATAAGCTATATTCTAATACCCGCCCGCAAACTCAAGGAGGCTTGGAAAGAGAGCTATCCAGAGAGCCATCCAAGACCTTGAGTTTGGACCTCAATTCAGCAAAGCGTGCAAAAGACAGAGGCTTGGTAAGCGTGTCAGCAATCTGGTCAGAAGAAGGAATGTGAGAGACCACTAATTCCTTATTGAGAACTCGTTCACGAACAAAGAAAATATCCAATTCCATGTGCTTGGTGCGAGCATGAAGAACAGGGTTGCGAGTGAGAGCCACAATGCTCATATTGTCACAAAGAACATAAGGGACTGAGAAAGAGATATGCAGTTTTCGAAGAAGAGATTGAATCCATAGGATTTCAACACATGTGAGAGCCAAGTTACGGTATTCAGCTTCAGTACTAGAACGAGCAACAAGTGTCTGTTTCTTGGACCACCAAGAGACAAGGTTGGGACCAAGGAATATGCTGGAACCAGACGTGGAGCGCCTGTCATCAGGATCAGACCCCCAGTCATCATCACAATAAGCAGTCAGAGATAAGGCAGAAGCAGAACGTGCAGCCTGAAACATTAACCCATGTGAAATAGAACCCTTTAAGTAGCGTAAGATCCTTTTAACAGCTGCCCAATGATCCACTAAGGGTTGAGCCATGAATTGGCAAACTTTATTCACAGCATAGCTGATGTCAGGCCGAGTTATTGTGGCATATTGGAGGGTACCAACAATGGACCTATAATGGTGAGGATCTGGGTAATAATTTGAGCCAACCCGAGACAATTTACAGTTGTTAGTCATAGGAGAGGAGATGCCTTTAGCCTCTTGCATGGAGACTCTAGCAAGTAAATCACTTATGTATTTTGATTGAGACGATATTAAGCT